ATTAAGCAAGCAGCTTCAGAAGTCAAGCTGCCTTCTGCCTCTTACCAAAGTCGATGGCTGGGTTTCTGTATTCACAGAATGTTGGTTTACTTAGGCAAAACACACATGTGCTGAACATTATACTGCTCACATCTATTGTGTGAGTTACAAAACAATTACTATATTTCAATAACATTTACCTTTCAGATTATGTCTCTATTTGTTTGCAAATGGATACGTAACTCAATGAGGTAAGAAAGGGGAGGAAAGGCTGACTTGGCAAATTATTTGTTCTTCCAGTGAAAACTGAACAACTTTCCTTTTTCAAATTTGATTAAGACCTCTCTTTTCTACCACACCCTCCCCACTCCCCCAAACTCAGACTCCCAATCCATTGCATAAAGTGCTTTGAGACATCCTCCCAATGTGAAGGGCACAATATAAATGCAAATTATTGTTGGTGTCTATCCTTACTTTAATGCTGTTTTTTTTTGAGGTGTGCATGAATATTGATTGTTGCAGTTCTTGATATGAATACTGTATGTATAACCTTAAAGAGTGAGGTGTTATTGCCTCCTGTATTCTCATTTCTAAAAGTGAAGAATATCAATAACAATTAATATAAAAAAAAGATATTACCCAAATGCACCAGTTTCTGAAAAAGACACTTCAATCATACATCATAAAAAAAATTGCTAAAAAATTTTACAGAGCAAGTTGTAGAATAAACTAGTATTCTTAAAGGGGAAATTGCTTAACTGAAAAAAGTGCGGAAAAAAGGCTTTGATTCCTCAGACCAGGTACTTTCCATATAACATTATTTTTTCTTAACTCGTTGTTTACATCTTCTAGGGGAAGCTTCTGAAAACATTTCCACAGTCTCCCAAATATAATGGAGTGGAATTTCCAACGTACTCCTCGCCGGACTCCCCAGCTCCACCATTCACAATTGAAAACAATAAATACCCTCAAGCAAAATGCACTATATGACAATTACAACAAATCCCAAGAGATTTAACAACACTGAAATGAGCAAGACCTCTGAAATCAAAGAAAATCTCCAACATGGATATAAATATTGCATGCCATAATTTATTAAAAAATCCATAACAAAATCTTGTTTGCTGACTATCCCTGCCTAGTTGGGTTTAGAACAGTGTTTGTGTCTTGCCTTAAAATATAAACTGAAATCCTCTTTTGGATTGTGTCCAACAGCATTCTGGCAACAGACTTGGCTTGAAAATAACAAAAGATGAACCGTATGAGGGTGATGGATACAATCTGTGACAAAAGATCATCATGCGTGGAAAAAAATCTTCTTGAAACAACAGTGACCTCCCCAATTTAGTCTGTTGACTCATTAAATGGCTCTAAATTCTGTAAGATCCAGGAAATCCAAAACTCAGCCGCCTGCCTCCTCACTTGCATCAAAATGCACGCTCATTTCCCTAGTCCTCTCCAGGCTCCATTGGCTCCCAACAGACTACTTAAAATACCTCACCTACAAATCTCTTCACAGGCTATCATCTGCCTATCTATTTGATCTTCACCAACTTCACTCCTCCATTCACCTTCTCTATCATTAATCAGCAAACTCAGGCATAATAAGCGACAGTACCCTTTCAGCTTTCAGCTACCATGGCCCTAACCTGTGGAGATCCCTCCCTCCATCACTCTGTCTTGCAGGTCATTAAATGTTCAAATGTTAACTTATATTCCACTCCAATGATCCTCATTGAGCCAGAAGCCGTGTGAAGCCTGATCTCATCCCCTTTACTGCAGGAACATAATCCCAATGCTGCCCATCAGTGGAGTCCTGTAGCTCAGTGGTTAAATCACTCGCTTTGCAAGTGAGAGACCGGAGTTCAATTCCAGGCAGGGCGAAACCTTGGGCAAGTTTACTTATTCCACACGCCTAATAATAATCCCTCCAAAACCAAAAACAATAATAAATTGGTCATTTTCAATCTACGACTGTTTGTGGGACATTGCTGTGCGCAATTAGCTGCCGCGTTCGCCCAAAAATATACAATCAATTCACTTTACAGTGTGTTCTGTGAAGTGCTTTGGGACGTCCTCCTGCCGTGAAAAGCGCTATATCAAATGCAAGGATTATTATTATTATTGTTATTATTATCACCAGTTTGGCCTCAGACATGCTATGGTCTCAGCTGACCCAACTCCAAGGTCCAAGGATTCCAAAAGGAATTCTCAAGGAGTAACATGATCTTCCTATTCGCCATGCACCCACTCCTGACCTTGGCCAGCCTGATACTCTCCATTGTGTAACCCAAGCACATAACAAAACTACACTATACTGTTGTATGTGGTAAGCAGACAAGTGAGATTTAAATCAGAAATGTATGTACCACAAACCGAGAATGAATCCTATAAAGTCACCGCATCTTGCACACTGAACATAATAAATGCTTATCATTCATCGATCATAACCTTTCAAATAGGCATCACCAATTTAATAACTGAACAATATGAAAGCTGGTGATCCATAGTGTGACACGATTTTAAATCAGCGCTTGCAGATTAATTGCATTTGTATGTGTAAAGCCAAACTCAAGTCGCGTAAATCAATCTAAAGCCTATTAATTTCATCCTTGTAAGGGTTCTTTAGAGATCAATAAAATTCCGGTCTATTTTTTAAAACATTACCAATAAATAAATCTAGATTATGCTACGATAATGGTTTTCCACGTAGGTTTCCGTGTAACACTATGCCTATTATTTGCACTACTCTTTCATGCTTCTTGATTCAGACCTACTTGAATTTATAACAAAGCACCAACATCAATAAGAGTAAATACTATAGTAATAAAAAACAGTGGATAGATTTTAAAGTGGCTAAATGCAAGGTGATTTATATTGGTACTGGAAATATGAAATGTGTGCCCAGGGTAAACGATTGATATATCAGAAGTATATTGGATTATAACCTGAAGCAAGTAAACTTAAAACTGAGTTGCTGTCGATCCTGTTTGTCTGGTTGAAGTTCTGAAAAATATCCATTATATTCGGTTCTTAATATATGAACAACAGTAAATTCTGTCAACGTCTCAAACCTATTCTGAAAATTGATCTCAAGAAAACAACTATAAAAAATACATTCAATGGTTAAAACAAATGCATATTGAAAACATTGTGAAAAACTGATGGTAAAAATATGGATACATTTAACAAATATCTTTGGACGATTTGTTATCCATATCTGTAATTACTTTACATGAACTGGAATTCTTATATTTACCAAGTGAACACATATGGGACATTGCTGAGCGCAAATTGGCTGCCACAATTGCTGCAAAAACACACTCCAAATTTTTTGTGTATCATTTGAAGTGCTACGAGACGTCCTCCTGATGTAAATAAATTCTACAATTTTATATTACAGATCATCGCATGTCGCCTCACAGAATTTGCACATCTCTTCTGAAATGGTGTTGTCTACTCCTGGAGAACAGTAGCCTGCTCAGATGTCTTAGGGTTTCATTTGTTTGCATCCCCTTTTTTCGGGGGGGGGTGGGGGGGGGGGTGGTGGGATGCAGTGGTGGGAGTCAGATGAGTGTCTGACACATGTAGAAACCCATCACCATGCTTGAGTATCCAAACCAAACTGAGAATTCCATGCACGTGAGCTCAGCTACACATGCAAATTCCAGGGATAGATTGTTGGAATGGAATGTGCACTCTCTCCCTGGAGGAATGCATCCTGGTTACCCAATTCCGGAAAGTATAAGGCACAGGATGGCAAGAGCCAAGGTTTGGGGACCCCAGAATGCATTGGGGGTACTGCTAGAGTCTAAACAGCTAAAGCCACACAGCTTGCCATTGACAGCATCTGTCTGGCAAGCTTTCCTGATACTTGTCCAGCTGGGGCTACCCTACCCGTTCGTGCTTGGCTTGCAGGATTAACAAGAACTGAGCAAGAAGATTCCTAGTGACTGGTCTGCCCTTCCAAGTCCTGCCAATGAGCCAGTCTGTGCTTTCATCAGTAGTGCCCTGGAATACTGCGAACCTGCCTGGCTCAGGAACCAGACTACCGAGACCACCACATAGCTGGCTCAATTTCAATATTCTACTGCCACACATATTCACCTTGAAGCCAGTTCAACTCGAAGGAGACCCGCTGACCTCCCCCACTAAGTAGGATATCACGGGTTGGTCGTTTGACATCCGACAAGTGTGGGTTTAAGAACTCATTTGATGCATGGTAGATACCAGGAACTCCCTACGAGCTTCTTGGTGGGCCATACAGCTCAGCATGAAATGTGCGAGTGCATTGTCACCATCTTCCTGTCCATTATTATTATTATTATTATCCAATCCCCTTTTGAAAGTTGAATCTGTTTCCACACCTCTTTCGGGCATCACCCTTCCAGACTGCAACAACTCTCTGTGTAAAAAAAACTCTTCACCTCCACTCTGGTTGTTTTGACAATTATCTTGAATCTATGTCCCTTGGTTACCAGCCCACATGCCAGTGGAAACCTATCTACGCTATTAAAACCCCTCATAATTTTGAACACCTCTATTCAATCATCCCTCAACCTCCTCTGCTCTAAGGAGAACAATCCCAGCTTCTCCAGTCTCCACAGAACTAAAGTCCCTCATCCCTGTTATCATTCTGGTAAATCTCCTCTGCACCCTCTTCAAGGCCTTGATATCCTTCCAAAAGTGTGGTGCCCAGAATTTAGCAGAACCAGGCTTAGTAGAACTTGCTTGCTTTTGTAATGCCTCTATTTATAAAGCCATGGATCTGATGTGCTTTTTTTTAAAAACAGCTCTATCAAACTATCCTGCCATCTTCAAAGAACTGTGTAGGTGAAAGCCCAGGTCTTATATTTCACATTTTTTTCAATACAATGGAACATAAAATATGATTTAAAATGCATTTTCTCTTTATTTTGCCTGTTCTGCAATTCTTTTGTAGAAATTGAGCAATTGTAAATGCAAATGTGAGCTCTGGAAGACTGCAGTGCAATACATCACATTGAGACAGTCTTTCTTACCTGATTGATGTGCTTCAGTTTATCAATGATCTGATTTATGACTGGGTCAGTTCCTTTCACCTTCACTTCTGGGTTGCTTGACTGAGCTTTGATGCCATTGCCAACTACTCGATGAGTGTAACTGGAATCAATAAAAGAAACCTTCAGTTGAAAACTCAACAAACCATTATTAGAACCATGGCTGTAAAGATGCACAACAGTTTCAGATTTGTTATGCTATTTTGAAATCTGTTATTGAATGTTGCATGTATTTATTGAACTGAATTAGATTTAATGTGACAATTTGTGTAAAACACAGTCATTGCAATAAATGAAGAAAACTCATAGACAACTGATCAATAAATCTCTAAATTGTTAATGTATATCATGCTCAGTTAACCCTTCACCTTTGTTTGGTAGCGGTTTCCAAAAATACTGCAGAAAACTCTGTGGTATTTAGCTTGGCAAGGTTAAAAGGTGAACTAACTATTGCCTACATCTTGAAAAACATAACATGGATCTTTGTTTCATCTCTCTAATGTTTGATAAGGTAATAGCTTTTCTTTTAGAATTTTATTTTAACTCAAAAGTTGAATACTCCCGATGGAGTCAGGAAAAGGTTCAAAGGGTTACTGACATGTCCTTGGAGGTTTATAGGATCTGGATAACTACAGAAGGTGGAGATGAACAGTTAAAACAGGCTCCAAGACGTCTGTCACACACTGATATGTATAACTGAATGATTGGACAGAAAAAGGAGGCTTAAAAAAAGGATGCATCTGTTACTGGCCATCTGTTGTTGTGAGAAAATATAACCTAGCAATGTAAACCCAAATGCTTCAGATCTTTTTTAAGAATATGAGGGGACAATATTGTATTATACAAGTATAATACAGTATTATACTCTACAGTATAATATTGTTAACAACATCCAGCATTGTCCATCGCCATGAGACATCTTCCTGAAATGAAAGGTGCTATATAATAATAATCCCGTCAAAAAAAGTAATAATAATAATTTGGTCACTCAATCCATGACTTTATGGGAAACTGCTGTGTACAATTGGTTCTCCTCAAAATATGCAGTCAATTCTTTACATACTCGACAGTATATTTTGTGAAGCGCTTTGAGATGTCTGAGCAATGTGATAAGGCGCTATATACCAAATGCAAGGTATATTATTATTATAATATAAATGTAAATTGTATCATTTTTGTCAGTTCTCCAGGAAATAACTGGCATTTTCAAAATTCAAATTAACACTACTGACAATAGTAAAATCAATATTAACAGACTTGATTGAATGACTTTTTATGTAAATTCTACTGCTTAAGAAGGTTTAAATATTCATCTTGTTAAAGGTTCAATTATTAAATAAATCCTTGCATTTGATATAGTGTCTCTCATATTAGGAGGACATCTCAAAGCACCTCACAGGATTTCCTGCAAAGTGCAATTAGTCACTGTGTATACTGCAGGTACACAGAAATAATGCTGTATTTTAATTACACATTGGAATGCATTAAACAAACTTCTCCTTTGATATTCAAAGGTGAATACTCCTGTACAAAAACAACAATTAACAATTGAAGGGCAAGTGGATTTACCTTCTGAAACAGAAAAGTATTTTAATTTTGTTTCAGGAATTTCCTAAACATAATTCTGTAATTCAGCAGACAAGGTGTATTGCAAGAGGGTAAGAGAAGGGATGCTGGTGTCTCAGGATAGGCTTAGATTCTCATCTAGCCCTAGCCACCTGACACCTATATTGACCAGAAAACACTGCAAGCTCTGAAAACTATTTTAACTCTTAGTGTACCATGGATGAGTTGCATACAAGGGTACAGAGAGGTATGAGAGAGGGTACTGGGGGGAGCGAGAGGCTCTTGTGGGGTACAGTAAACATTAGCATGGGCTGTTGGGCTGTTTCCACCCTACAATAGTTTATGGAAATCTATATGATGATCACACTCAAAACTCAATTGAATCACCAGACTGAAAACTAAACAAATCTCCATACATTTAAAATGGGTTTGCTCTCCTTGTTTGGCAGGAATATGGCATCTGATGCTCAGCCGATATAGCTTGATGTGAAAAAGCTTTCAGAGATCAGGTTCATTCACTGGTCTTTACAGTTCAACTCAGCCATTGTGGTAATAGGGGTGCTACAATTAGCCTCACTGTTTGTGAAGGAGAGCAGAAGATGAGAAAAATATCATTCAGGCTTTGTGTACTTGACTGCTACCCAGTGTCCTCCACTGGAAAGTATACAATTCAAAATCCAGGCAAAGATATTATCAACTTATTATCAACTATCCATATGTATTTTGTTTCCAACACACTCATAGCTATTGCAGAGACCTGTGCATAACAAATTATCACTTGTGCAACTGTAACTAATGATGCCACCAGGAGATGACAGAATCATAGAAATGTAAAGGACGGAAGAAGGCCATTCAGCCCATTATGTTTGTACTGGGTTGTACTGAGTAGGAAAAATTAGCCAAATACAATTATGCTCGACTGAGAATCTATCAATTAATGGATTATCAGGAACACTGTCAAAATGTGATATCTGCAATTTATGCAGTACCAATTGAAAATACTTGTGGAAACATTCTTAAATTGCTCTCAACTTGCCATCTGGTACCTAGCTAGCTGGAGTGAACCTCGTTTCCTGAAGGCCTCTCTTCAGAATTACAAGATGTTCCCCACATTGCTTCAGTTCTATAAGGGTCTATAATTTTCTATTGATTTTCAAGCAAACATTTCCATTATACGCTATTGAAAAGTCATTAATCATTTTTGTGTATTGTTAATGCAATCCATACAGAGCTTGTTGAATGTAACCATCCTCAGTGCAGCTGCTTCACAGGCAAAGCAACAATTGAAGAAAGAATGGAACTCCAGCTTTTATTTGAGTCTCAAATGATGAATTTTCTTTTAAAGAAATAACACATTTGCCATCTGTGCTTGCTTTTCCCATGTAAATGTAATAATGTACCACAGGGGTGTAATGTTAAGATTGAGGCTAGAACCTGTTTCCATTTCTATCATTGTGTGTGTAAAGGGCTGTCAAAGTCATTTTAACCTTAACAAAAAAAGGACATTATGACATTGGATGGGTGCAGCCAAGGGTAACAAGACTGATAGCTGAAATTAGATACCAGAGTTGTGAGGAAAGGCTTGAGCACCAGGCATAACCTAGTGGAGTCCTGTCGCTCAGTGGTTAGAGCACTCGCTTTGTAAGCGAGAGACCTGAGTTCAATTCCAGGCAGGGCGAAACCTTGGGCAAGTTTCCTTACTCCACACGCCTAATAATAATCCCTTCAAAACCAAAAACAATAATAAATTGGTCATTTTCAATCTACGACTGTTTGTGGGACATTGCTGTGCGCAATTGGCTGCCGCGTTCGCCCACAAATATACAGTCAATTCACTTTACAATGTGTTCTGTGAAGCGCTTTGGGACGTCCTCCCGACGTGAAAAGCGTTATATCAAATGCAAGGATTATTAGTGTGTACACATTATATTTATCTATGAATAGGTAACTGGTTGACTGGAAGAACCCAGGTGGTACAGGGAATGTCATCAGACTGGGAAATTGTTACCAGTGAGTCCCACAAGGGTGTGTTTTGGGACCTCTTTTGTTTAATATTTTTATAAATTATCTGGAACTAGGAATCGCAAGCACATCTGCTAGGTTTGCAGATGACACCAAGCTTATGAAGGTGGTAGATTGCAAAGCTGAACAAGATACATTACAGGAGGATTTGAACACACTTCGGAATTGGGCAGACTGGTGGCAGATGAGATTCAATGTAGAGAAATGTAAAGTACTTCACATGAGGACAAAAAATCCAGGAAGGGACTATTCTTTGAACGGAAGGAAAATAATACATATGGAAAATGAAAAGGACCTGGGGGTTGTGATTGATGCATCAAAAGATCAATAGTAAGCCAAAATAGAGGGGTAATCCTGCCAGGGGTAATAAAACATTGGTGAGACCATATTTGGAGTACGCTGTACAGTTCTGGTCACTGCATTGGAGTCCTGTAGCTCAGTGGTTAGAGCACTCGCTTTGCAAGTGAGAGACCTGAGTTCAATTCCAGGCAGGGCGAAACCTTGGGCAAGTTTCCTTATTCCACACGCCTAATAATAATCCCTCCAAAACCAAACACAATAATAAAATTGGTCATTTTCAATCTACGACTGTTTGTGGGACATTGCTGTGCGCAATTGGCTGCCGGTTTGCCCACAAATATACAGTCAATTCACTTTACAGTGTGCTCTGTGAAGCGCTTTGAAGTGCATTGGCCACTGACTCCAACTCGGAATCACAGTGCTGAGACAAATTAGGGTTCCCAGAGTATGAACACTGAAAATAGTATTTTCTTGTAGCAAGAAGTGATCACAAAGAACCGAATCATCCTTGGGAATGAATTACCAAGGAATGAAATACATTTTCCACTGTATCTTAATGGGGGCACTTCTGCCTTAAAAAATTTGAAATGTACAGTACAAACGGTATTTCAACACTTCATTCAGACATACAGAATTTTACTTTAAACCATAGCAGCTGGCGCAGGCTTCCAAAATAGCCCCTTTAATGCAAGAATTTGGTTATTTTCAGAAAATTACTGCCAGTTGGCCCACTTATATTGTATGTAGAACAGGTAATGATACTTGGGTAGAGTTAAACCATGCAATACGGACACTGATAAGTTCAAGGTCCACCACATTGTGACCGTTCTTGCACTTTTTGAAGATGCACAAATATTACGCCACAAAATCTATGCATTATGTAGCAACTATTTGAAACAGTTACTTTTTTTTAAATGCTTATTTTACTTATTTTATTATATTATTTTATTTTATTTTATTGAAGACAAGTGTTGCCTTGTGCCATAATCACCTCACAGGCACACAGGGAAGTTCAAGCCTCAGTTAAATGAGGCTTGCATGTATTAAATGCCAGTACTAATAGCATCACTCGACCTCCAGAATTGATGTAATTAATTACAGGAGTGAACACATTTTCAGGTACCCTGGTGCATTTCCTAACTTTGTTCATTAGCTGGGGATAAAACTATTTCATGTCATTAGCAACATTAACAGCAGGAAAAGGCACTACATTTT